GGTGGGGGTTTCTGGAAGTTGGGGGCTTAGGGATTTTCTCGGGTTTGGGGTTCAGGGACTACGACGACGACGAAGCTTACTGCTACCGGCTATCGCTGCTACTAGGCTACTATTGAACCTACTGCTGCTACTGCGACTACTACGACGACAACTGCTACCACGACTGTGTCGACACGACTACTTCGACATCTTCGAACGACTAGTTCGATTACTTCGACTCCTACGACTACTTTTACCACCCTTACTGACCGACTTCTACGACTTCCGCAACTACTACGACTATGGCGACTGTGACGACTATTATGACGACGACGAAGACGCAGACGACGACGACGACGACCATGAGGACAAGGACGACTTCTAGTACTCGTATGCCTACGCCTACTCCTACTACCCTTCTGCTTGTACTACTACTCCTCCTGCTGCCTGCTGTTGCAACAGCAACAGCAACATCACTGCTGCATGGCCTGTTGCTCTGGCATCGCGCCGTTCCGATTCTGCGCTCGCATACTAACCAAAGCAGCGAACTCCCATGCATGTCATGCCACTCTAGCTGCTAGCTCCTAGAAGCATCCAGCAGACACTGGTCGAGGATTCTAAAGTGACGCTGGTGATGAAGCCAGAGCCTGTGACCTGGCTACCATCGAGAAGCGCTTTCGGGGTTTTTGGCTGCTAGTGGAAGCCCTGTACCCTGAAACCCTGCTCCCGTAGCCCAAGATCAGAGAAGGTTACAGTCACAGAGAAGATCATCCCAGATGAGCCGGAGGAGACGACTCAGGAGCCTGCTACTGCTACTACTGCTATCGCAGCAGCAGCAGCAGCAGCAGCAGCAGGAGTTGTCGTTGTTGTGTTGTTGTGGTGGCCGTGGTGGTTGTGGTGGTGTCGGTGGTAGCAGTAGTTGATGATGACGGTGAACCTTGTTGCATTGTTCGAGGTGTTGTTGGTGGTACTTGTGACGACGGTTTGAATGGTTTTCGCTCTTGTTATGTCGCACGACTGCGAGCTGCAGCTGTGCTGTTGTTCTGGTTGCTGCCGCCGCTGCTTTGAATATCTACTGATGTCGTAGCGGTGAGCTTCTAGAGGCTTCGGGATCAGTCGTTTTAGGTGGATAGTTACTTGGCCTCTGAACATGTCGGGTAATATAGGGGCCTGAATAATTACCTACAACATTTTGGGGGCTCCGGAATTATGATTACAGCATAACATACCCCAAAGCCCCATTCTAGTGATTGAGGCCCCTACGTGGTGGCCCTTATAGTATCCAGTACCTCTTTTAAGGAACCCTTTGAAGGAACCCTACTCTAATTATTAAGGCCCCTACATTGTAGACCCCTTATAAGTATCCGAATCCGTTATAGTACCCCTTTTAAAGAACCCTTTAAAGGAACCCTACTCTAAGTATTAAGGCCCTAAACCCTAAACCCTAAACCCTTAAGCAACGGAGTTGAGGCCTTGGCTTCGGAGGCTCCTACTCAAAAATGGCCTGGTGTAGTCGAAGGGCCCCTCCTTGCTGCGGCCTGCAGCTGAACGACTCTATAGTACTAGAGTGCATTATAGTATACTGTAGTATACAGCATGTTATAAGGTATAATCTTCTACAGTATATTTCTTGTATATTTTCTGTATTGTAGTATACTGTAGTATATTATAACTAGTATATTTTTTCGTATTAGAGTATACTATAGTATATTATAACTATAGTATATTATAACTAGTATATTATAACCTGCCGCAGACAGGAGCCGGAGCTTTCACGAACACTGGCTAACTTTATGCCAGGGCCCGTGACGCAACTTTGCCGCAGATCATGCAGCTTTGGCCCAGTGTCTCAACCCTCTGACTCTTCGTATTTCTCCATCATGATCCGAGTCCTCCCTCTGCTAGACCTCTCTCTCTCTCTCTCGCTCTCTCCGTCCGTCTCTCTCTCTCTCTCTCTCTCTCTCTCTCTTCGTGTCTCACTCTCTCTCTCTCTCTGTCTCTCTCTCTCTCTCTGTCTCTCTCTCTCTCTCTCTGTCTCTCTCTATCCCTCTCTTCGTGTCTCTCTTTCTTTGCCTCCTCTAGAGCGCTGGCTCTCGCCTTGATGCATTTGGTACAGGAGGCATTGTTTCGGTACCGTTTCCAACATGCCCGTTGTCATGGTTGGTACCATAATATAGTATTATGATACAGTATGATCATATAGTATACGGATATAGTATTCTAATATAGTATTATAGTGTAATGGTTGGATGAAGCATACCGCGGCAGACGGCAGCCATGCATGGCACAAGTGTTGGATAAGCGGTTGCACGCATCCAGACCTTCCCGCCCTTTTTCCTGCTTCTGCACAGATGCGTAGTGACGTATTTTTGTATCATGCAGTACAATCATCCGCAAAGAGGGACATATGCTCCTGTACATGTGGGTGTACGCATGCATGCATTTCTGCATGTCTGTCTGTCTGTCTGTCTGTCTGTCTGTCTGTATGTATGTATGTATGTATGTATGTATGTATGTATGTACAGATAAGTAGATCGATAGATGGATGGAGTTCTGGAAGAACACGAAAAGACGGTTTCTTGTTGTTCTGCGTTCGGCTTGTGATGTGGGAGTGAGTGGGTGCGCGATGTGTGAAGCCAACGGTGTGTCAGAGCCCGTATTGAATATTGACAATTGAATATGTATATATACATATATATATATACATATATATATATATATATATATCTGTATATGTTGCTCTGAAGTCCGACTATAAAGAATCGACCGTGCGCAAAATGTGTTCGGATTCGATCAACCTCTCTCTTGAGGTCGGCACCGGTTTCGCGAAAGAACCACCATAAGCATCTATTCAGTCACTTGTGAACTAGTCTGTCAGGTGACCAACCCAAGCAAGATCTGGGCATAAACTTCTGGCAGTTGAGAGAAGTGCTTTATACAGAATATGTCTGAAGCCCTGCCTACTAGCTGAATGGAATCGTAAGTCGTATCACTCAAGGACACATGGGCCATGCGGATGAGATGTCAGAGAGTCGTCTTATCTGTTTAACACCAGAGTTGCGTTGGCAGGTCGATTAGGGTTTAGGATTCAAGGTTTAAGCTTAAGGGGTAGGGTTTGATAGCCCGTAAACCCTAAAGCCTGAAGCATCCCAAGACTCCAGTTCAAGTCTTAGATGGTCTAAGGCAAGGTCTAGGGTTAGATCCTAAATCAGCTCAGGTTTTAGAGGGTTCAGGGTTGAATCCTCCTAAACCCTAAACCCTAAACCCTCCACCCTAAACCCTAAACCCTAAACCCTAAACCCTAAACCCTAAACCCTAAACCCTGAAACCCTGAAACCCTGAAACCTAAAACCCTAAACCCTGAAACCTAAAACCCTAAACCCTGAATCCTAAAGTCAACTCCGACTTCAAGCCCGAGCCGCACTGGACCCCTCCTCAGGCCCTCGCCTCCTGCCATGCAGACTCTGTCCTGGGCTAAGGTCTGCGGCTCTCGGAGTTTAAGGTTTTAGGGTTTAATGGTTTAGGGTTTAGGGTTTAGGGCTTAGGGTTTAGGGTTTAGTGTTTAGGGTTTAGGGTTTAGGGTTTAGGGTTTAGGGTTTAGGGTTTAAGGTGTTAAGGTTAAGAGAGGCGGAGAACCGGGGTGGTGAGCAAAATCGTGTTCCTTGTTAAGACTGCCAAACTCTTTCGTGCTACAGCAATGGCAGCAAGAAGGGTGCCCGTGAACAAGACACTTGTTCACGATTTCCCGAGATTGTTTGAAGTATTGCAGTGCAGCTCATAAAAAGGGCAATCTTTGTTGCTTTGGGTGGCCGCAGAACTACCACGGATTCTATCAAAGGGGTACTGTAAGAGGGTGCCTTTCAGGGTACTTTCGGGTTCTATAATGGGTTCCCCTTTGGGAGGTACTGTAGGGTTCTATAAGAGGGTCCCCTGTCAATATCATGTCCGTATGCCCTGTGCCAAGTTTCGGTGTAACATGCCAGAAAAACTGGCTGCCAACCAAGCAGGCCCCTCTCTATCTTGAGATCTAAGCACCACTCACCACATATATCCTGAGTACTACGTATGACTCTACTACCCTAAGACCGTATACTCGTCAGGGGCCCTACATTATAGAGCCCTCATAGAACCCGTATGGTGACCCTTCTAGCACCCTTTAGAGAACCCTTATGGTAATGAACCCTTATGGCAACCCTTATAGAACCCTTATTGGCAACCCTGATCGAGCCCGTATGGTAAGCCTGGTAGAACCACTTAGAGAACCCCAATTCTCCCTACACCCTAAACCCCCAAACCCTAAACTTAAACAAAACTTAAACCCTAAACCCTCAAACCCTACACTTTAAACAAGAAACCCTAAACCCTAAACCCATTTTCGACGATCCCAACAGCCCAGGCCTGGACCTCGTCCGCCTCTGCCGCCGGACCCTGCGCCGGCAGAAGCCTCAGTCGGGTTCTTTCGGTGGGGGAGTTTTGGGTTTGGGGGTGTTGGGGCCCAAGGGTTCTCTTACAGTGTGTTTGCTTGTTTGGAGTTTTAGGATATAGGGTTTCCGGCACAACATTCGAGGTGCAATGCTTGGTGTTTTAGCAAGGTTCACCCGGGGTTTTGCACCCTCGTGCAGCACCTCGGCGCAGGTCGAGTTTACAGTTCGGCGGGTCGAAGCTTTGGAGTTTTAAGCTGACGGGGGTTGATGGGTTTCGGAAATCAGATTTCACAACTGAGTTTGGATCATTGCTTTTTGCAAGTTGCAAAAGGGCCTAGTTTTGCCAGATGCGTGTTCGCGGTGTTCAGGATCCTTGCAGCCGATTGGGTCTTTACGCTTGCTGTCCCGACTCGTCCCGGCATTTCTAGCTGAGATATGCAAGATCAGGAACCCCCATCGATTCCGAAACGAATAAAAATTCCAGCCAATCCCAAATCCCTTCGTCTCAGCAGCTTCGCAACCCCAAACAAAAGGAGCGTTGCCGCTTTGGTCTGAAAAGAAGCCCCAGCCCGACCAGGTTGCTATGGGGGTGGTGGCCCTCCTACCGGGGCCTTAATGATTAGAATACGGTTTGAGGTGTATTATACTATAACTATAATAAGGAACCCGCCTAAACCCTGAACCCTAAACCCTAAACCCTGACCCCTAAACCCTAAACCCTAAACCCTAAACCCTGACCCCTAAATCTAATTATGAAGGCCCCTACTTCAAGCTTTTAACAGGAACCCTGCAGGCTCTAGGCTCTAAATCTGCAGCCGTTGGCCTTCAGGTGCCAGTCCCTCGCAAGGTGGAGCGCTTCATTCCGGTGCAGGCACATCAGGGTCTTTACATTAAGGGTTTAGGGTTTAGGATTTAGGATTTAGGGTTTAGGGTTTAGGGTTCAGGGTTTAGGGTTTAGGGATCCCCGAAACTCAGTGCTGTTCCTTCTGTGGTCTGCAATCCATGCAATCTGTGCTTGTGGCCTATGGTGGAAGATATGGCAAAGCTGCAGTCAGGCACATGTATGTATGTATATATATATATATAAATAAGTATATCTGTGTATATACATATATATATATATATGTATGTACTCGCATACATCTGTATGTACAAATGCTTGAGCCTGAGCCTGCAAAATTGTGGCAGGGTCTTGCTTCGTTCGCTGCTTTCAAGTTTCACAGTCGACGGGGAGGTTGTCTTGTGTTGATTTGGGTGATCCACGAAGCAACTCAGTCCAACTGCGCAGCCCTGCGCCTTAGCTCGAAGCCTTTTAAGCTTCAAAGCTACGACCCGTGAATCCCAACGTCTTGATCCGAGATCCTCTTGACCCGAGCTTCAGGTTTTTCACACGACGTGTACTCCAAATCCCAGAAGACAACAACCCCCAACCCTCATTACCCCACCATTCCTCCCTCACCCCTTCCTTCGGATTATGAGAAAGACATCTATACGTGGGATATACAGAAGTATCACATGTTCAGTACCTGTTCATCCTTCCGTCGTTTATACATGCGCGGATACATGCTGTTTTTATATGTCACCAATGCGTAAACCTCACTCCCACACGTTAAACCCGGAGCCCTAAATCCAGTGATTCAGGATCCTGTCAATGCAAGCCTCTAAGGTACCCTCGGTCACCACAACAAGGTTCCTTCCTGTGCAGCGCGCGGTCTCTGCAACGCCACAGAGGCTCTTTCGGTGAAGGGCTTCAGGGTGTAGGGATGTCCTTCTTGGTGTTGTGATTCGGTTCCCCTTGGAGTTTCTGTTCGGTCCTCCAGGGGCTGTTCATTTGACGATTGTGACGACTCTGAGTCATACTCAGCTTCAGGTACCCCGAAGGACATGCACCGTAGTTTAAAAGGTTTCTTTTCGGTGTGCCAGCTGAAAAAGCTGCAAGTAAGTTAGTTAGACCCAGAAGGTTACCCGAATTGAAGCTTGTTATGACAGGACTTAAATCCCGGTTGACAGGCCACCAGCCTCCGTGTGGAATGCAGCAGGGCGGACCCGAAGATGGTTGGTTTAGCCAGTGGCCGTGTAATCGTCGACTCTTCTTCTTCGTGACTCAAGAGCTTGCTGTTCATGGGTAGTTATAAGTAGGGTTATAAGTAGGGGAACTATAATTATGACCCATATTAGGGGACTTATAACCCCACTTATAACTACCCATGAACCTCCAAGTGTTGTACTAATTCATGAGTCGAGACTTGGATTAGAGCAGTCGTGCTGATCGTCACAGTGCCGTTGTAGGAATTAATTAGACCACAAACCACTGGAAAGCGCCAGTTGAACATTGGTATGTGATCCCGTCTTCAGGGCAATTGCGCTATAAGCCTTAAATTTTAAACCATTACGTAAGCCCTAAGCCACAGGCCTTGCATCATCAGCGTGGGCCCGCCGCTGGCACCCCCAGGGGAGCGCGGTCGACCGGCCGGAATTGTCGGCCCGGTGCCCGGAGAGACGATGAGGGGGAGGGGAGGGGGCGGCTAGCCCAAGCCCTCCATGGTTCGTGTCGCGGTTTCTGCGTGTCGTTCTTTCGGGGGCTCGAGGCCCTGTAGGGCTTTGAACTGAACCGAGGGGTACGGCTGTATGGTGGTCAGAAGGACTGCAGGGTCTGAGGACTGTGAGCTGCATGGGCACAGTTAGAGTCATTGTCTTTTTCTCAGCCTGTCTGTCTAATATAGGGGCCTAAATAGTTGCCTATGCTATTTTTGGGGGTTCCGTATCATAAGTATAGTATGAAGCCCTTATAGTATCCCTGTTCAGGAACCCTTTAAACCTCAACCCTAAAGGGGTTTAGGGTTTAGGGTTTAAGGATTTAGGGTTTAGGGTTTTGGGGTTTAGGGTTTAGGGATTAGGGGTTTAGGTAGGGTTTAGGGTTTAGGGTTTAGGGGCTTAGGTAGGGTTTAGGGTTTAGGGTAGCTGCATTCAAGACCCAACGCGCGAAGCGACTTCAAGCTCCAGTAGGGTTTAGGGTTTAGGGTTTAGGGTTTGGGGTTTAGGGTTTAGGGTTAGGATGTCACAGAGATCGAGCAACCCAACACCTCCTACTCGTAAAAGCCTTACAAAGCTCTACAGCAGCCTAGATCTCCTAATTAAGGCCATGAGTTGTATCAACCCTCTCAGTGAAAAGCCCTCCTTGGAGGTTTTTTTTTGGGTAGTTTTAAGTGGGGTTAGAAGTCCCCTAGTAGAGGTTATAAGTATAGTTACCCTACTTAAAACCCTGCTTATAACTACCCATGAACCTCCAAATATGACCCCTTATAGACTCCTTATAGGACCCCTTATAGAGAACCCTCTTATAGATCCCTTAAAAGGAGCCTTATAACTACCCATGAACCTCCAAGTAGAAGCCCTTGGCCGAGGGCAACCTTTGCAAATGCTTCGGGCCTCCTCCGCTGGCCGTGTCGGCTGGGCCCACAAATTCCCGCACCCTAAACCCTAAACCCTAAACCCTAAACCCTAAACCCCTAAACCTAAACCCTAAACAAGCATTTGCGGCTTTTCCTGTCTGTGACATGTTTACTGCAATGCCTCATTTAGGCTCACCGTGGTCCTTGGCTCACAAAAAATGTCACACCGTAGCATCGTCACAAAGAGAAGTGCAACATGTATTGCCGCTTCGTTCTTGTTGCGAAGTCGGGTCTATCGCCCTGGCACTGTTCCTCTTTCGATGTTGCATCCCCGCTACGCAGGACTTACGGCCAGGTGGGTTCACATTGCCTCGTGAAGGTTTCAATGCAGACGACGTGCTGAATGGCTGTTGAGAGTGTTCGGGTTGATACCCTGCAAGCAGGCCAAAGCTAATATCATAATATAGGGGCCTTAATAATTGGAATAGGGTTTGGGGTATATTATACTATAATTAATTATAATTACGTTAAGGAACCCCTGAAACCCTATTCTAATTATTAAGGCCCCTACATTACTCGGGCTCTATACGAAGATGCATAGAAAGCCTTCGTAGCCAGGCCGGGTGACGCCTTGAAACCCGCCTTTTATACAGAAGCCCGAAGAAATATACCCGCACATACCCATCTTGTTCCTCAGGGGTCTTCATTATCCTCACTATAAGGTGCCGCAAAACCCTGTTGAAACAATTGAGGCCCCTATATTAGTTTGGCAAGACGAGGCTGTATCACCACACCTGCGGTGACTCCGCCGTTCTCCACGCCAGGGACTCGGTCACCCTCTAGGGTTGACTTCTGACTGTTATTTACTCGACGGTACCCCACGCCTCCACTGGGCCCGAACAATCGAATCATGCTTGAGACCTGACCAGCCCCGCAGGAAGGGGCGTATGCATTGGGGAACCCTAAACCCTAAACCCTAAACCAGAAAATTTGCAGCTGGAAGGTCCCCTAGTACACTGCCAGACGACAAGCAGGGGTGTAGCGAACCCTGAACCCAAGACTCCGAATATGGTGCTTCATGGCCCACAGTCATAAGCCCTGTCCCAGCATTTTCTTCATTTCTTTCAGGTACGGGTTTGGGGACCCACTGAGAATTCAGAAACCAAGGATTGTAGAGGTTTGGGGCGTAGGGAGTTTGTGATGGGGTTGCAGGGCAATGACCGGGGTGTTAGGAAGCCTTTGAACGGATGCATGTCGGAGCTTGTCCAAAGAGTGCCGGCAAAACCTGATCTGCGTGGTACGTCTATTGTAGGTACTTATGGGATCAGAATTCGCTTTGGGGTATATTGTACCTTCGGGAAGTAGGGGTCTTTCGCACAACAACGATTTCCATGGATAAGATGAAGTGCAGCTGCTCGGAACGACTGGCCACGATCGCCCGGCTGTAAGTCTCATGAAACCAAAGCCCAAAACTTTGAAACCCTTACCGGTCAATGCTCTGCCCAGTTTCACGCCACAACCCCTGAGTCCCGACACCGCTCTAGATCCCTCAACCCCCAACCAACCCCCAACCACGAAAACCCCAAAGCCTAAATCTTGAGCCTTGGATTTCAAACCCCAAACCTCGAGCCCCAAACTCTAAACAGCTGTCAGGCCGAGGAGTAGCCGGGATCCCGGGGTCTTGACGGCTCGCGGAGAGAGGTCGTCTTAACCTTTCACCTGCTGAGGTTTCGGTTGTCTTGCATATGTTGAGTGCCGTGCTGTTGGGTGTTGCCGCCCTAAGCCCCAAAAAGAGTGAGTGAGTAGGCGAGTGCGTGTTTCGGCAGAGACTTCTAGATCTTTCCCACTTCCACGCGGGTGTTTCTTCAGGAGGGCATCAGTCCATTCATATTCAAGCTTGAGCCGGCAGGCTTCAAGAAGGCTGTATGGCTTGAATGCATGGGTTCAGGAGACCTCGGTACCTGCCCCTCGCCCCTGCCCCCCCCCGGAAGTTGAAGAAGGCCATCTACTCCGTTCCGCAGGCTACTTTCAGCCTCTTCATGAGGTTGTGAGTCGAAGCTGATGCAAGCATAGACAAGCGGCTATCCCTAAACCCTAAACCCTAAACCCCAAACCCTAAACCCTCAAGCTTACGAAACTCGATGTGAAGGCCTCAGCCCTCAGTCATAGGTCCTCGGAAACCTACACCCTACAACATACCCGACCTTTCCGGTCGGAGCAGGAAGGACAAAAAAAACCCAGCCCCAAAATGCCCTAAACCCCGTAAAGCACCTAGGCCCCCAAAACAGCGCGACACTCCAATCCTTCATCCGAAACCCTCCTGAACCCCCAAGCCCATCTGAACCTCTGTAGCCCTAAGCCCTAAACCCTACACCCTACACCCCCCTTGCAGCCCTAAACCCTACGAGCCCTAAGCCCCACACCCTAAATCCGACACACCCCATAGAGAACCCTGCGTGACAATTTTGAAGCCTGCAAAGCCCAGGTCACCGGGTGCCCTCCACGCCTCCAAACTTCCGGCCACCGCAGGTGATGCAGGTGCCGCAGGCGGCAGACGCTGTCTTGGGTTCAGGGCTCTAAGTTTTTTTGTGTGTGTCTGTGTGTCTTTTTCGGGTTGGGGTCCAAGGGTTTCTATACAAATGTGCTTTCGTGAATGAAGCTCTACACGGGGGGGAATTTGGCTTGAGGAGTCGGGCTTCTGTGCTTCCAGGTTGGCTTCGGGGAGTTTCGATGCACCTTCATCATATAATATATCCTATGTTAAGCTGCTGTATGTTGGATCGGGAATCTCAACGCCTCACAACGGCGTGGCGTCGTGCTTGCTGTTGTTGATCCATCGGCTCCTGCTCCGCAGATCATGGCTAAACCCTAAACCCTAAACCCTAAACCCTAAACCCTAAACCCTAAACCCTAAACCCTAAACCCTAAACCCTAAACCCTAAACCCTAAACCCAAACTACTCAAAGACCCTGGCCTGAGCCTTCTCTACCTCTGTCAGGCCTCTTTTATGGGGCCATGAACGGGAATCAACATCTCCAAGTACAGTACTTGGAGGTTCATGGGTAGTTATAAGTGGGGTTATAAGTCCCCCAATGTGGGTTATAATTCTAGCTACCCTGCTTATAAGCCTACTTATAACTACCCATTTCCTGCCGCAAGCATCCTCGTTGTCTGCTACAGGTCGCACCGCTGACGCCTCGGCCAGCGGCCGAGCTTCCACGGTCTCAGGCGATGTACGCGGCATACCGGTCAAAGGACCTTCCTAAAGGAAGGATTGCCCGTCCCCCTCGCAAAAAGAGGTCTTTTTTTGTGAAGCCGAAACTTGAGAGCCACTCCCCCCACAGACTTCTTCGGAGTCAGATCCCAACAGAGGTCTCTAGTCTGGTGAGCTGCCTCGAAAAGTAGGCAGGCACACTGCAGGCAAGCATGATATGGGGCAGCCCGCTCATTTAAAAGTCACATCGAATTCACAATCACAAAGCCCAAGCTCAAGTTGGAGGCTGGAGTTTTCAGTATGGGGTTCCCGGTTTTGGACTTCCATTTACGCAAGCCAGCAACTTCCGTGTCGTTTTAAAGGCTCCTACATTCCGTCCGAGCAGCTGGAAGCTAAAACAACAGACGCACTCAAACCTCCCGAGGCTAAAACCGTAAAGCGCTTCACTCCGAGGCTTTAGAAGTTTCGACGTGCTTCAACTGCAGATCGATACGAAACCCTTGCCAGCTGCTTCTTAGGGTTTAGGGCTTATAGGGCTTAGGAGAACCCTTAGAAGAACCAGTCCGATCCTATCAGTAAAGCCTTCACGCGAGGTCGGACTCGCGCCCCTCAAGGCCTACGAGCAACCCAAACCTTGTGGTGGGCCCGTATGCCCGGGCCCTCTGGCCTCGGGTTTAGGGTTTAGGATTGAGGGTTTGGGGGTTTGGGGTTTGAGGTTTAGGGTAGTGGGGTTTAGGATTGAGGGTTTGGGGCCGGTAGCTGTGGCTAATGCTGGGAGTTGAGGCGCGGATTCAGGGGTCGGGATCATCAGCAATGCCATTCAATGTAGGGGCCGTTGGGTTCCTGATTATGGTTATGATTATGCCATAGCACCCCGCAGCCAGTTCTAATCATTCAGGGCCCTATATTCACAAAACAGGTATCGCAGGCCAGGTTTCCGAAGGCTGAGAAAGGCAGGACAAAAGTTGTGTTTCAGTTTTTGGCGGAGGGGGAGGTCCTTAGAACAAGAATCCTGCTTGGGGTTCTGTAGCTGAAACTCCGGGTCAAGTCTCAACATCGGGCATCTGAAGGACCGGCCCCAATTCCCTAAAGCCGGCAGCGCGAAAGCCTGAACTTGAAGAGTTTAGGGCTTAGGGTTAGAAAAGCCCGAACCTGAAAGGCTGAGATGTAAAGCCCTGAACCAAACGTCCCGGTTTGGGAAGAGGGATGAGGCTGGTCTGTGCACGGCCTCCTTGCGGTAAGGTTGTCTTGTGCCCTACCTGGTTTCGGGTTGAAGGGTGGTTTGGAGATCCAAGGGCTTCAGAGTAGTGGGTTTAGGGTTTAGGGTTTAGGGTTTCGGAATATGGGGGTTTCCGAAAATTAGGGTACCTTATTTTGGGGTCCTGATAATAAGGATCCTATTATTTGAGGATTTGCCTTACACGAGCTTCTTAAGCTGGCCAGCTGCATTGATCGGGCCTAACTCTGCAAAGGCCAAGGTTGTCCGTGCTTGCAAGCCGGACAGTTTGTGGACCGGCCAGTGCCATTTTGGCTCCGAGTTGTTGCTTGTTCCTCTTTTACCCTCCCTGAGCGGCGTGCTGGTATGATACCAGGGGCGGGGGGGAATTTTGGGGGAGGCTATGCATTTGAGCCGGGGCCCCAGCAGGGTCTAGGGTTTAGAGTTTAGGGTCGTTGAGTTCAGAGGGCATGGATCATTTGTCACGGTATTCCTGGCGTTTGTCATGTTCGACATAAGGGTTCCATCGTCCCCCAAGCCCTTATCTGAACCGCTGGAATCCCTGAGCCCAACTCTAGTTTGCGGGCATGGTTTGCTCCTTGATTGGTTGGGGTTTAAGGTTTAGGGTTTAGGGTTGTTTCAGAGCTGGCTATTTGGCAGTGGGGATGGGGTGAACTGGCAGCTTCACAGCGAGGGGAACTCACAGTTCCGATGAGGCTCCAAACCTCTTGCGCTTCAGACATGTTTCAGGCTTTACACTCGATCGTTTCAGTCTCGTGCTAGAAAGTCGATTTACCAATGGCCCGGCTTGTCACGAGCCTTCGCGAGCACCCGCCCCCAAAATTGAGTGGACGTCAGAACGGCATGGACCGAGGCCACAGCTGACCCCGAGGACAGAGCGACATGTGAGGCATATCCCGCGTGCTCATCGGTAGAGGTTTTCAAGGCAATGAGCTCGTGGTCGCAAAAACTACCACGATTCCTGAAAAAGGGTCCCTGACCTGAATATGATTCAGACGGGACATGCCCCGAAACCCTACTCGAGTCGTGAACGCCACTATACAAGCATTAGATGCCTCCTAACAACCGGAGCTTGGACTCGTTGAGAAGATTTGGCTTTCTTTTCGTCCGTTGGGGGCTGAAGGATTGTGAATTATCTGCAGAGGTCGTAGTGACATAGTGACAGAGGGTGGAAGTCTGCGAATTGAGACTTTCGGCTGTGGTTTGCAGGATGCAGTGTACTGGTTAGACCCGTTAGGAGATGCTTGAATTCGAGGTCTTGGCAATATTTAGACAATTCAAGGCTTGGCAGATGTGGGAGTTTGGAGGCAGAAGCGCTCACGGATTCATGCATGCAAGTGTCACGAATGCGTCGAATGCAACGGCTGAAGAAACCTGATCATACTCCTTGTATCTTGACCCTTGCCCAACCCACTCGAACTGCATGCGGGTCGCAAAGGTCGGTAGGAGTTGAAGTAGCAGCAGCAAAGGCAACATGAGCAGCAGCAGCAGCAGGAGGAGGAGGAGGCGGAGGAGGAGGAGGAGGAGGAGGAGGAGGAGGAGGAGTAGTAGTAGTAGTAGTAGTAGTAATAATAGTCGGAGTAGCAGTAGCAATAGCCGTAGCAGTAGCAGTAGCAGTAGTAGCAGTAGTACCCCTAGTCGTCGTCGTAGTCGTAGCCGTAGTCATAGTCGTAGTAGCAGCATCAGCAGTAGTAGTAGCGCCGTTCGCTCGTCGTGCTCGTGGTAGGAGCAAGGACAGAACTGCTCTGCTATCCAGCTGTAAGTCCTAAACCGTCATCACAGGGGCCGGAAATGCTGGGTTCATCTGTGGGTGCGGAGCCCAGAGGGTTGCCACTGACGGCATCATAGCAACACATCCGTGTCTTGCAAGCTCCGTATTGGCAGCTCGGCATCTAAACCTATCACAAGTAGCATGCAGACGGCACCGAACTTGGCGAGGTCTGTTTCAGCCTTGATCCATTCAGCAAGCAGTCGTTCTTGATGGACAGTTGTCACGCACAGCCGTCGCGGTGTTGAAAGAATCTGACAACGTTCAACCTGGCCCGAGTGTCATCTATTTGTCCCCCCAATACGACAGGCAGTGAAGTGCATCCCTGCAGTTCAGTACTGGGCAAGTGGCAAGGAAAATGATGCGCTTTTCTTCAATTCCTTGCTCAACCTAACAGGTCATCTGCCAAACTCGTCCAACATGTCGTGCAAGAGATGCGTGTGCGACGCTCCCGTATTCTGGGTGAAAGAGACTTCACAGATGCTGTCAGCCCTTGCCAAGTATGGAAGACTGTAAAGACGATTTTACAAAGCCCCCTAGCCCTAGTCAGGCATTTCCGGTTCTTGTCAATAGCAAGAGCATGGCGAGATAGAATCTTTCGTTCCACAGTCCCTCCCAATCCACCGAACTCTGCAGTTCCTCCGATCAGAAGTATAAGGGACCCAAAACCATGTAGCCTCTACACTCTGTAGGGATTTCTGTTGCTCCTAAATAAGATGCTTCTGATTCAAGAGCCCCCGGCATTGCGGTTCTGTGTTTCGGGCACTTCGGGTCTAAGGTCGTGACCTTCTCCATCCTCTATGTGACTGCGCTGGTGATGACAGCGCTCTCGTCCTGGGGCAGCAGAGAGGTGTTGGATTGAGTAAGGGCGTAGAAGCACGCAGTCGCCCCTCCCAGAAATACAGAAAAGTGTTGAAAGGCCCACAACACCGCAGCTCCCAAACCCTACCACCCGCAGCTTGGAACAGTTGCCTTTCCACTGTGGCACACAGTTTCATTCCAGGAGCAGTGGCAATAGTGTAGATCAAACGCTTGCACGGCAAGCCGGTGAAACCGACATGAGCTTCGCTGTAGCCGTGCGCACAAGCAGTACTATCGAAAGCAATGCTGGCAACAATGCAATCTTTGTGGCATAGAGATAGCGCTAGCATCCACGTCAATCGCGCTTCGACTGTGCACTTGAACCAATTAGTCATCAGCAGGAATTGCTGTCCGCTCTGCTCCGCGACGCGACCTACTGTAAAAGGCAGGCGAGTAAGTAGGCAGCATAGAAGGTGGAGGTAGTTCGGTAGTCGTCAGGCAGGCAGCTAGGCAGGTAGGTAGGTAGGTGGGTAGGCCGGCTGTATGTGCAGCAAGAGCAGGAGTAGTAGCGGGAGTCGGGAATATCAGTCTGGACAGTGTAGACGTTTCGGCTTTGTTTTCCTAGAGCTCATGAAATCCAGGTGGTCGGACAATGGCCTTTGCTTCAAGTCCTGGTGGTGCGTGTCGCGAATGTACATCTGCAGCCTGCCCTCATCGAGTCTCGAAGCGTTTGAACGAACCTAGTGCTTCTGCCACTGCTGCCTTTTGCTGCGAGTATCTGCTACTATTACAATTACAAGAACTACTACTACTAACTACTACTAC